GGACGTCAAGAATTGCCACTGAGAGGTACGTGCGACTCAGGTCCAATAAAAATTAATGATGCTGAGCCAGAAACAAATGATGGAAACTCGTGCTATCTTACGGATGAGAAGCAGATGTGGAGACTCAAATCTATAAAGCACGCAGAAAATATGACGTTGAGCGCTACCTACCTAAGCCTGACTATACAAAATGAACTTATTGTAATTTGTGGTGAAATAATCCAGAAAAAAATTGTACACGGATTAAATTCTGCGAATTTTTTTTCAATCCTTGTTGACGAAACTGCTAATGTTTCACGACAAGAACAGATGTCGATTTGTCTAAGATATGCCGATCCTAAAGATAATGGGTTTTTCTTGCGTGAAGATTTTTTAACTTTTGTAACAGTTGAGAATACAAAAGGAAGATATTTAGCTAATGCAATTTTATCTGAATTAAAATCTTTGGGAGTAAATTGCGAATATTTAGTCGGACAAGGATATGATGAAGCTTCTTCGACGAAAGGAAGTTTTAAAGGTGTGCAGGCAGTAATTCGTGAGTCACATCCAGAAGCCTTATAAGTTCATTGCAGATCACATTCATTGAATTTAGCTCTGGGTCATTCATGCCAGGTTCAGCCTATTCAAAATACTATTGGAATTATAAAATCGGTTGAAAAATTTATCAAGTCCTCGGCAAAACGAACCAAGTGTTTAAAAGATAATATTGAAAAAAACTTCCCTGAAACGCAATGGAAAAACCTTACGGCAATGTGCGAGACCCTCTGGGTAGAAAATCATGATGGGTTGTTAAGATTTAAATTAAAGAAAGAATATACGGTTTGGCGTTAATGTCAATCCACCGCATAATTGACATCGACACCGAGGATGTAATTGATTTGTTCGCTGCAAAGAAAGCTAGAAGATTAAATTTAATTTTGAAATAAGGTGTTAATGTTTCTGAAATGGTTTTCTAATAAAAATATATGATAAGTAACGCCATTTTATTTCTTTTATTAAAACGATTTTTTGTTTTTCTACTGTTCCAACAAATCAAAGCCTCCCCGAAATTATTTTCTGGCTACGGCCTTGATAGGTATCGCTTTTTATCGACCCGCATAATTTTGGAACGTTTCATTTTTACGCTCCTTTCTGTTGCGGTCGCGAAATTTGAGCGGGAAAGCCCATAAAAACAATTAAAAATAACCTAAAACTCCTAAAATTTCTCGCTATTTGCGATTGCTTGAAAAATATATCTTTAATGCTTTACATAGTAATAAAGATTATAAAAAGGTATACCTAAATATAAAAATTATTGTAGATTGTTGGTCAAAACTCCAAGTGACAAATAAACAAGTTCACTTTCAATTGAAAATGCTATGTTTAATTAAACTAGAATTTACGTTCGACACAAATTTAATTTATTCAAATTGAACGTATGGAGCGTACTAGCGTACCCTTCAGCAAACTGATCCTGCTACCCTAATCGCAGCAAGAATTCGATAAAATCATTGAACCACATACTTTGATTTTCTTTTACTATACGGAGAATGGTCGCACTGCGCAGCTTTCTGAGTGCCTTTTAAAAGGAGATAGAAAACTCCGCCATTTTGAACCCTTATTACGTGTTGCCTACATCTTGGCGCAATATTTTTAATAGGTGCGTTTTAATCATCCGCTTCTGCTTCAGAATTGTCGGTTTTCTTGTTTTAATCTGACAGGATAAATTATATACCGACAATTCCGGAAGCAGAAGCGGATGATTAAAACGCACCTGATATTTTGCTTGCTGCTGTCAGTTGTCAGTGTCAGTGAATATTTTTTTGGAGTCACAATTTATTGCTAAAGAATCAGTTAGCTCACTCGGACCAGTTGAAAGTTCAAAAATAACATCCACTCCAGGGATACAAATCCAGGATACGCAGAAGACTGCTGTTTTATTATAGGCGATTGTCATATATTGTATGTGTGTCGGAGTCTCAGATAAACAAATGAAATATAGGTAACTAACGCCGTTTAACATAAGCTGTGTTCAATGCACATACTTTGATTACTATACGGGGCAAGAGAGAGGTCCGACATGCCCAACATAAATCGCGGCCATTTTGAACCCTATGACACAGTTTATAGCTAAAGAATCAGATCGCTCACTCTGCGTCGGCACTTTTGATGTCAATGTTCCAGTTTATAAACTGCTATTTTTATTTTTTTTAGAATTATAGATATTTTTATATAGTAGTTGTTTTCCAGTGTTAATTTGTTAACTTTTAAGTGTTTTACTATGTCTGGGCAAAGTTGTGCAGCAAAAACTATATGAATAAACTGTATTAAAAGATTTTTTCGGTTTCTTAAAGATCTTATTAAGTATGTATAGTATACTTTTAAAAAAATCCTAGTTTATGAGTCAGTTTGTCAGTTATAAAGCTATTAGTAAGATGTAGGTAGGTGCCTAGTTAACGTCACGTAAAGTTTAGCGTCAATTTATATTTACTTATGTAGGTATATTATTAAGATTTAAAGTAAAATGTTATATTTTAAACATCTCCCGTATGGAGTTGACAAAATGGAAAAATCTTTATTTTTATTTTAAGGAAAAAGTCATTATAAAAAATTCTGTTTGACGAAAAAATAGGTTTACTATATTAATATGTTAGGTCAGGTGTACATGGTCTTAATAAATGAAGAAACTTAAAATTGACAAAAGGAAAAAATCTGTATTACCTTATTGATTTTACGAAGAAAAGTCACAGTTTTCCTTTCGGTTTTCCTTCATAACTTTAAAAGGAAACTTTTTCTTGTAATTTTCTTCAACAAGCAGAATTTTTTTATGGAATAATTTTTTTTTCTGAAAAAAAAAATGAATAATTATCGTAATTGTGTTATTCTTAAATATTGAAATGCTTAACAAAAATTTAATTCTGATATTCATTTTGATAATTATTCTAGATATGCGAATAACAAAGCTTTATAATCTTGATAAATCTAAAGTATTTTCATTACAAAAAGAAAGAAAATCTTAATTAGCCATTAAAGAAATTATAAGTAGTAAATTAGTAATGAGTCACAATCAAAATCATGTGTTTTAAGCAGTGCTATTAAAAATGTAAAATTCTTATATTTTGTCGAAGTAAATTCAAAAGCCCGCCAATTTTCAAGCTAAAATAGCATTACATCTTTCTATATTACCGACTGAGTATTAATTGCACAAAACTATTCCATATGTTGCTGAAGGTAAACATGCTGCCAAATTTCTGTGAGGAATCTGCAACTCTTAATTATCCTTCCTCCATGATGGTAACTGTGTAAACCCTACATCGGTCCAAATTCAAAGGACGTTCAAAAAATTGCAATGTTTAAATTTATTACATTCTGGAACTGAAAACTGCGAAACAGGTGGGGATGCTTTGTAAGGCTACATGAAATTCGTAGGACTAGTAAGGATGAGCCATTTTCCAAAATCCCGTGTAATGGTGGCAATATTGTCGAAAATGTAAATATAAACAAGCATATTAATGAATTGCATGCACAAAATATTAATATTTTTTAAGAAAATTTTATTATATATGCGGATTTTTAATAAAAAAAAATGTCTTAAAATTCAACGTTGCGATGTATGTACACAATATGCCTTAACACACGAAGACTTGGATATAAGCTCCATGTATTGTTATTATAAAGCATACAAAAAAAGCAAATAAAGATATTTTTGGCAATTTAAAAATGTCAAATAATAGTTCTGTATGTTTAATAACAAAAATTGAAATAATTTTTCATCACAATTTTGAATTATTTATCACTAAATCCGGCGTTTGTAATTTTTTTTAGATTTAATTAATTCCGAGATAACATTTTCATAAATATATGTTATTAAGGGTCGATTCCACCGTTGTGTTAAACGGAGATTAAAATGACATTGTTAATGTAAAAATGTAATTTTAAACTTCGTTTAACACAACGGCGGTGGAATCGGTCCTAAGTTATATTTAAGGCTGCTCATATATTTCACTTTAAAAATATTAATAGAAATTTTAAGACCATCAATAAAAACAAGCTTATTTATTACAAAATCTTTAAATACGCTTTAATCCGACCCTGACTAAGACCCCCGAATGGCGTCGTCAAGGTCAAATTTTCTTAGTATAATATTTGTATGCGATCAGCGGAGAGTGGGCCTGCCGATTGTTTGCCGTGATCAAAGTATGTGCTCCGACATATATTATGTCATATGATTTGAAACTCGATTGAGCGAAAAGTAATGACGTCACAATAGAGCATTGAATCAAATCAAATAAAACAGTAAAAAACATGACTTTGCTTTTTTTGATTTTTGTTTCTGTGTCAAAACGATGATCAAAAAGGGAAGAAAATGGAAAAACTTAATAATAAGGGACAATGTCATTGAAATGCAGCATGTAGGTACCACAAATGTCCGCTTCGCTTTCAAACTCCATGACTGTGATTACTGATTACTGGTGATTAGATCTGATCAGAGAAAATGTATTTTCCAAAAACACATTTTATTTTTTTAATGAATATTTTAGCTATAAGACAAAAGCGGCTAAGTAATTTGCTGACTTCTTGTCTGGTCTCGAATTTTGAGATTCAAGTTTTTTGAAGGTTAATTATAAAGAGGTCCTGCTGCTCTGAACACATCGAGCTCACTCTATGTTCTCGCTCCAAAGCGAAACAAACACTTTTGAGATTGCTCGGAGTGTCAATTCAAACACGTTTACAGAGTTCGGGGATCTCCGATGATCAAATCAAAAGCACCATTGATGGTGAAAGTTAAAGATTAAGCTTATCCCACTTTGTAACTTCCTGGCAAATAATGTTGCAAAGAGCCAAACATTATTTATATTGTCCTAATCATTATTAGATTTACGTTATCATACACAACATATACATTAAATGATATATTAAATCCTTTACACATTCAATCAATTTATTTGTGATCGGATCTAAGCATTAAACCCCAAAAGGTTATTTTTCAAAAAAAAATCATGTTTCTTTTTTGTTACAGGTGTACAGTCGTTCTCTTCAACACCAGGACAGAACAGCAGAGTCATATTATCAATACATGTCGAAAAACAATTACGTCACTAGCGTTTTCAGCATGTGGACGATACATTGTGACAGGTAAATTAAAAAATAAACATAAATTAGGTAGAGTCCGATTACAATAAAAAGAACACACCTACGTCATCACTTGGCGTAGTAAGTTGTTGACTTCCGATTCGGACATCGTCGTGGCAACATTGAAATGGCGGTCTCCGAATCGGGAGTCCTCAAGTCCTACAATAATCACAAAATATTAAGTTCAAAAGTGGCCATCCGACTTTAAAAAGTATACTAAATTAAGGAGGTCCTTTCGCCACCAATGTTAAATAAAAAATATTAGATTGTGACTAAAATTTATTTTTTTCTAATAGTAGATGTCCTTATTTATCTAATAGTGAACTTTTAACTATACCTTACCGTGCAAATTTTTGAGAAACATTTTTTTTAAAAATGTGTGTGTTTGTACAGTGTCTTATGAGAAAGTAAGACTTCAACAACAATTTTCGAATTATAATTAATTTTACTATTATTTATTGATTAGATGGAGTAGAAAAAAACTAAAAATAAGGTTTTTGAAATATTTAGGTTTTGTTTTTTACAATAAAATATATAGGTTACCGTGGAATTTATTGAGCAATTATTATTAAAAAATCACAAAAAAATTTCAACTAGGTTACTTAAAAATTTTTGTGATTTTTTTAATATTAATTTCTCAATAAGTTCCACGGTTTACTATATATATTTTATTGTATAAAACAAAATCTTAATATTTCAAAAACCTTATTTTTAGTTTTTTTCTACACCATCTAATCAATAAATAATAGTATAATTCGAGAATTGTTGTTGAGGACTTACTTTCTCGTGAGGCACTGTACAAATACTCACATTTAAAAAAAAAATCTCAAAAATTTGCTAGGTAAGGTATAGTTAAAAGTTCAGTATTAGATAAATAAGGACTTCAACTATTAGAAAAAAATTAATTTTAGTCATAATCTAATAACTTTTTTTTAACATTTGAGGCGAGAGGTGTGGCGAAAGGACCTCCTTAAATAAAATATTCAGTGCTAAGAATTCTGAAGAATGTTTAAAATAATTATCAAGTGCAGTGAAAGAGTGAGGACAGAAGTCCGGCGCACGAGGGTGCAGCTTTTCCACTTGAACAAAATTTGAAAAAATAACTTTTCCTGGGTAGATAGTCCTCGGATTAAGCCATAACCACATTAAAGAAGAAGAAGAAGAGGAGAAGTAGTAATTTGTTGAATAACGCCGTCTACTGTGGGTTTAGTACTATGTTAATATTATAGGAATATATGAATTATTTTTGTATACCTTACAACTTGCGCATTATATAGATAATATATATTTGAAATTCGAAATAATGGTTATGAGGTAGCAGTGTTCTTCTTATTGTAATCGGACTCTAGTAGTTTAATAAATTATTAATTATTATCCATTCATTTATGTTCATTACCTTCCCAGCTTGTCAAGTACTAATTAATAACTGTCATTTACTCTTTTCTTTTCTTATATTTCTTCCTATACCAGGAATTTCGTTGTTCCTTGCTTTTCTTTATTTGTTTTTCATCTCTATAGACTTTCGCTGCTTCTACGTGGCACTTGTCTTTTTAAAAACCATCTTTCACATCCGTACAAAATCGTTGGTCGGTATATTTCCTCAATATTTTCTTTATGTTCACATATTCATGACATTAATTTCATTTTCGACATTACTAACCTAATTTATGTAAACAATCGGTTTCAACTATTATAGAATTATCACTGAATTATGAAGACTGAATACACGTCATGTATATTTTTAGGAGAATGCGGGCATCAACCAGCAGTTCGAGTATGGGATCTTCAGTCGGACCCTCAGTCTGGCCATCCGGGTTTAGCACCACAACCTCAACAGGTTGCCGAAATCTTAGTTCACAAATTTGGAATCAACTGTGTAGTAAGTTGTATTCTTTTATACATAAAGAGTGGCCCATTAGTGTGTGGAAGTCGAAGATTTCTAGCATCTTTATTATTTTTAAATAAAATTGTGTCAAAACTATCACTTTTATATTACATATATTATATTAAAAAAATAACAAATAGTGAAATAACATACTGGGTGTTCAGTTTTAAAAATCGAACTTTTAGATGTTTAAAGATTAGCAAGTTTAGGGTGATCATATTCCTTTTGACTCAGTGGAGGACCGGAAAACCTTTTTAAAACAGAGAAGTCATGTAGAGGACCAAATTTTTTCAATTATGTATTACATTGCTGGACAGTAATGGCGTTCTATTGCTGTACAAGATCAAAAAATGCTGGACAGACTTTGAAAATGCTGTACAAAACAGCGAAATGCTGTACATATGGTCACCCTAAGCAAGTTGATACCCCTGTATAAAATCACCTGTATATACAAATACACTTTGGATCCTCTCGGACGTTATCTTTGTTTTTATCAAATATTTTTTAACTGTCAAGTTTTTTTTAATGATAATTGTCATGACAATTTTTCAGTATTTTTCACATTTTTATGCCATAAATTGACAAAATCCTTAATATTGGAACGCAACATGAAGTTAATGATGATAAAATATACAGGGTGTTCAACTAAAAATGGGACATAGAACAACTGAAGATTGCCTGATTAAAAATAAGTCGATTAAACAAAACATGCTTAGGTAAAATGTTAGTTTTCGATGTGTTAAAGTTGAAAATTCAAAAATTATTAATGGCTATAATTTTTTGTTAATCAGTATAAATTTACTAAATTCGACAACGTTTTTGGTGTCATTAGATACCCCTAGCAGCAGAAAAGTCAGTTAAATAAACTTTGCCAGTAGCACATTCACCCCTTCTAAATTTTACACCACTGTCCAAAAACTTATTTGAACAAATACAAAATCTTTCATTTTCTCTCAATAATTTAAAGGTTTTTGATATTTTTTACATTTCGAAACTTATAAAGTGATTGGTTTTCGAGATATTCGCACACAAAGGTAAACTCTCTTTATTTTAATTAATTTTGAATTTCTGAAATTTTGAAATTTTATTTTTTTATACTTTTAATAAGAGTACATACTTTTGATAGATTGATGAGCAAAACACACCTTTTCTATAGAAGGTTTAATATATCTTTTTGTATAATAAAAACAGTAAATCAATCACGGAATCAATCGTAAACGAAACTATAACAACTAATACAGGGTGTCCGCCGAGAAGGTATACTACTTTGTTTGTTTATAATTTTTGATTAAATGAAAGAGAATGGATCTTATATTGATAATTGTTTTATTTAATGTCGGCAATTATGTATGGAATACAATATCAGATAAATGTTCGCCTCTGTTAGCCTCACAAATGCGAGCCCTTTTGAGCACATTTTTCATTACATTCTCACACATTTCACGCGGTATTTCATTAATTTCATCACGAATATTTTGTTTGAGTTGCTCAAGCGTTTCTGGTTTGTTTGCATAAACCTTGCTTTTCAGATATCCCTACAAAAAGAAGTCCGAAGCAGTCAAATCAGGCGACCGTGGAGGCCAATCAACATCACCATTTCTTGAAATAACTTGTTGTGGAAAGAGGCCTCGCAGTAATTCCATTGTAATCCTGGCTGTATGCGATGTTGCACCGTCTTGTTGATATTACATGTTAATCAAGCCCAAAGCATGCAGTTGTGGCGTTTTCAATCATATCACGATATCGCTCCCCATTCACAGTCACCGTTACGCCGTTTTCATTTTCAAAGAAGTAAGGTCCAATGATTCCTCCTGACCAAATTGCACACCAGACTGTCACTCTTAATGGATGCAAAGGTGACTGATGAATAATTTGAGGGTTTTCCATTGCCAAGAACCGACTATTTTGTTTATTCACATATCCATTCAAATGAAAATGTGCCTTATCACTCATTATGATTTTTTCATGAAAATCGGGGTTGTCATGGGCGAGCTGTAACATCCTATTGGCATATGTACGGCGGCGTAAATGGTCTTGTGGAAGAAGCTCTTTTGTCAACTGAATCTTATATGGAAACAAATGCAAATCATTGTGCAAAATTGTGGCCAAAGTTGTTCTTTGAAGACCAAGCTCCTGAGAACGGCGTCGAATTGAGGTTGATGGATTGTTTTGAACACTTTCTTGAGCAGCAGTAATGTTTTCAGCCGATCTTGCAGTACGTTGTGGTCCATGCTTGGGCCTATCACCTACAGACCCTCTTTCTTCGAAATCATTCACTACACGATAAATAGTGCGTTTTGTTGGCACGTTGCTTCTCCCAAAAATTTCTCGTAACTTTCTCATCGTCACAGTAATCGATAATTAATTTTGATAAAATGTTTTAACGATTAAAACACGTTGGTTTATCGAATATTTTGCCATAATAAATTTGCAACGTGTCTACTTCACGACTGCCAAATATGAACTGTCAAGACTAATGTCTTACCAAAATGGTGGCAAAACAAAGTAGTATACCTTCCCGGCAAAGAATACCTACCCAAGAAGCGAAACTGTATGAGTTTTCATATGTACCAAAGCAAGGGAGCTTAATACACTGGGAAACGTATGAAAACTAATTAGTTTTTGTTGTTTGGTTCATAAGAATTAAACACATACTAAAGTAACAAATGACAGACAGAAAATTCTTACTATGTTCATTATGTCAAATAAATTATTTTAATACCGAAATAAGTACTGTAAGTACAATAATAACAGTCAATATACAATAGCGAAAGCAGATGACCTGGTCATTCTGCAAATAGGGAATTTTTAGAACAATTATGGAACAGTGGTGTGAGGACCATTCACTCTCTATCAATTCCAAGAAGACAGAAATAATCCTTTTTACAAGGAAAAAAGATGAAAATGGAATTAAAACTTACAGAAAACACAAAACAAAACTTTGCAACAGAGGTGAAGTACCTAGGTAGCCCCTTTGACAACAAGCTAACATGGAACAGAGTCAAAAGAGCATACATTACTTATGAACAATGCCGCCGAACCATGGAGCGCACCTGGGGTTTCTCCCCCAAAATCGTCACATGGACTTACATGGCCGTCTGGGTACCGAAAATCCATAAATTGACAGCTATTCGCAAAATAGAACAAATTCAAATAACAGCATGTCTCAACATAACAGCAGGCATGAAAACCACAACAACTATGTAAGTCGTTCTTACTCTCACTCTCCTTGATATTTACACCAAGGAGGTTGCTCTGATGACAGTGACACGCCTCTGCACGGTTGGAATAGAACCTGATGTACGATCTGGTGAGGTGAGACGTCTTTTTTGGCAAAAGGCGCTCGATACACTTCCACTGCTTCAAACATACATGAACTTCATCTTACCGAGATATTTCTTCCATAATCCCAGACAACACACCAAATCCCAAAGATATCCACACAATATATTTTGTGGATATCCAATATATCAGAAATATTCCGTGGATCTAATATGGATATCCAAATGTCCGTCTATATCCAGAATATAGAAGATATTCTATGGATATTCAGCAAAATATCTAATTAGTATCTTCCAGACAATACAAGAAATCCCAGAGATATCCACAGAATATATTTTGTGGATATCCAACCAAATGTCCGTCTATATCCCAGGATATATAATTCAGATATTCAGCAAAATATTTTATAGGTATCTTTAGTAGACATTCATAAGTAACCAAATGATTGTTACGAAAGAAAATAGAGATAAAAAATATTTCCAACAATCTGCCTTTGAGTTTGCCCACTAAGGAAAAAGTCATCCTTATTAGGACTCTTCAGCAATAAATGGAAATTCTCGACTCCAGTCTCTAATAGAGTTAATACGAAAAAATTTTCGATCAACTCAATTATGGCGGGTTGAGCATGAGTAGATACGAAAGTGGTATCGCCATCTATACTTAGGAAGCAAAATCAAAAATTACATCTAGTAGATATCCACGATGGTTTGCGTCCGCGCTAAGACTTTGATATATGTGGATGTCCATGGGATATTGAATACACCTTCAAAAAATTAATTTTAAATATCTGAACGGTACTATTAGCCACAATGGCGAGCACAATGGCGTAATTTTTTAATAATTTGCTATATAATTACTATTATTTATGGGCATTTGCATGTCTATAAATTACATTTTATGGATATAAAATAGATATCCACCATGGACTGGACATTCAGTGGATATTGGGATGTTCAGTAGATATCCAAAGGATTTGGTGTGCTGTCTGGGATCCATATGGAGTTATAACTACAAATAGAAAAGCCTGAAATGTCAGGTACGATTCATATCTACACCGATGGTTCTAAAACAAAACAATGCTCAGGGTGTGGAATATACTCCAATTTCTTAAACTTCAAGATAAAATGGGCTGTGAGTAATAGTGCCAATGTAGTTCACGGAGCTCACGGAGGTTCTCACAGCAGCAAAAGAAATCACCAAAAACAATATCACTGGTAGGAACATGCTCATCTATACAGATAGCAGATAAGCACTATTTATCCTGAAGAGACTACGAATTTACTCAGGGTTAGTACTAGAATGTCACGAAGTTTTCGCAAGAGTATCCATCCAACAATGTGGTCACCTTAAGATGGATCAAAAAGTAGCCTTCTTGCGGATTCACTAGTCTAGAAGGCGGCCAACCAAATACTTTTTGGACCTGGCCCTTCTATTTGACTGACAACATCGGTAGTGACAGACCTAATTAAAGAATATTCCCGTGAAATTGAAGGAAAGATGAGATGAAACAAGAAACTGCTGAGTTACCAGGGAGCTTGTAAGTATCCTGACAACATAACAATAAACAAATACTTAACTATGACTAGCAAGAATCTACGTCTGATCACAGGCATTCTGACTGGTCATTGCCAAGTACGGAAGCGTCTCCATATCATGGGGCTGTCAGAATCCGCACCCTGCAGGGGGGTGAGAACAAAAAGATGATACCATTGAACATATCCTCTACGATTGCCAGTCGCTCATATTTATTAAAAGATTTGTTTTCGGCGAGTATTGGCTAACACCGGCCGATATAAGAGAAGCACGTCTTGGCTACTTTGTCAACTACATTAAATCTGTGGGCTGGCTCACGAGCTAGGAGGTGCCTATCATTTTAGAAGGATACAAAATGGGCCTAGTGAGGCCTAAGTGCCGTGGTGTAACCCACCCTCTACACGATACATATCCAGAAGTACTGTGTAGGTAGCTGTAAATGCATTTCGATTGCATCCTGATAGCAGTGACTTGGTTCCTCGATGTGAGTTTGTCATATATTTTAATTATTGTTTTGTATTATTGTTTATTTACAAACAAAAAAATAAAAAAATTAAATATTTAAATAAAAGACTAAGAAATTAAACGATGCATAATACGTAGGCGTAAATTATCATTATAGGTAATACTGATTTAGAAATTAAAAAAAAAATGATAGCCAGATGCAAAAACGTTCAATAAAATTTACAAATAAGGCAGTGAATTTCTTTTCTTGTAATAAACATTTTAAAACTATCTAATTTCTAATTACTACTTAGTTAAATACAATTACTTAACTATACTGCAATTTTCACAAAACGCTAATAATAATATACCAAACGTTGCTCTACATAAATTGACAGCTATATTTGACGTTAAACCACCTCTAAAACACTGAGAAAACTTGGCAGTTTTTTGTCCACGAATCGCCCATTTAGTTTCGCTTCTTGGGTAGGTATTTTTTGTTCCCGGCGGACACCCTTTACTATAGTAACTATATGATCTCGGTATTACCTAGGAAATACAACTAAAACACAACCCCTTAATACCGATTTCATATAAACAAAATAAATGTTTTCCTTTGTAAGAGGTTTTGTAAAGATATCTGTTAACAACGTCTGGGTAGAAATGCAGAGTAGGTTAACCTGACCTTTTTTTTACCATATCTCTAACAAAATGATATCGAATATCGATATGTTCGGTTCTTTTGTTTACTATCTGGTTAGAACTGAGATCACTGATCTGTATTATTTTACTGGATAGGATATAGGCTATATTTAACATACTAAAAAACCGTTCCACCAAGGAAACCGGAAGTGCAACAATGCTGGCCGATTTGAAAAGTTAGATTATGTTGCTTCCCATCAGAAGAAACATTTGAACCAATAATGTAACGTACTACAGCTACTACAGCATCAGCTTCTTCAAAAATGGAAATGTCTTTCTTATAAACATCTTTTTCTTCAAGAGAAGCATTTTCTTTTAGAGCTTTAGGCGAAATCCAATCTCCAGTAACAATTTTTCTTACTTTGTGAACAGTCAACTGCAAATTCATATCGAACTTCCACGATGTCCAGTTACTTTCACCATGTAATTTGTCAAATGTACCTCTCAAATCAATTTCTGATATATTTTTAAAAATCAAAAAATTGGCTCAAAATTTTACGCTTTGAAATCGTACTTGGGCCCATAACCTGATAGATTGATGAGCAAAACACAGCTTTTCTATAGAAGGTTTAATATATCTTTTTGTATAATAACGAGTACCATTTTACTTAAGCATGTTTCGTTTATGAGTCTTATTTTTAATTAGAGAATCTTCAGTTGTTCTATGTCCCATTCTTAATTGAACACCCTGTAAAGAGTCATTTAAAAATATGCAAAAAAGTAAATTCTATTTTCTCATATTTCTCATGATAAGAGAGATATTGAACTTCATTACACTAAATGGCTACCCGATATATGTTAAAATTACTTCAGGTCAAGTCACCAATTTGTTGGTTAGTTTCGTAGTTTATAATGAACGTTTCTATTTTCAAATTTATTCACGAATTATTTGTTTTTTTTAGGCATTTTCACCGACCGGTAAATATGTGGTAAGCATTGGCACCCAACATGATATGATAGTCAACGTTTGGGACTGGAAGAACAATATCAAAGTGGCCAGTAACAAAGTGAGCACGAAAGTTAAAGCCATAGCGTTCGCTGAGAATGGCAGCTACTTCGTGACGGTTGGTAATAGACACGTCAAATTTTGGTACCTGGAATATGGAAATGCTAAAGTAAGTTGTCAATAAACAGATTTACATGTTCTCGTATTTATCAAGTTCTCTTAAACTAGCCCTGGACTTAAGTCAATGTATTTATGACCCTTCCGTTTTGAGAAGCTCTAACTTTCTTAGATCTCTACAGTAATATTGTATAATTCGTATGCAAGTGCTTTATTTAATTATGTATTTATTTATTTTCAGTATAAGGATACGGTTCCACTTATGGGTCGATCAGCCATATTGGGTGATCAAAGGAATAACTATTTCTGTGATGTAGCTTGCGGCAGAGCAGAGTCGGCCGACAGTACTTATGTAATTACGAGGTCGGGCCTGCTTTGCGAATTCAACAATAGAAGACTTTTAGATAAATGGGTAGAGTTAAGGGTAAGTAGAACCTACGTCCACCACTCAAAGTGTCATACATTGTACCGACCAACAATTTTAGTAAGCTCTGTCTTAAAAATAAGTTGAAACTGTTGAAGTTACACCACTAAAAGACGAATACTCAATGAATACAAATTTAAATGAACTTCTTTAATTTAAATTGTTGCTGACATTCAATGTACAAAATAATAACAAACTTTTTTTTTATTTTTTCAATAGGTAACAAGTGTATATCATAAATATATAAGTGCTAAAGCAAATAGAAAAAATTATAATGTAACTATTTTAACAGAAACTCTTTACATATACGTTTTCCATTTATTTTTGTATTTTTCTGATTAACAATCAAAAACTTATCCAGCAAGAATTCAAGATGATTATCCGATTCCAAGCTCACATTCAATTTTAATGCATGACTTTAGTCTCATCCGGTATTTTCTCCGTGTCCAAGATTTTATTGAACAGCTCGATAAGTACTGTAGCGTTTGTTTATTTTAAACCAATAGTTTATTTGTTAATAATTTATTTGAACACCTATTTATTTTAAAACAATACTGTTCTAATTTATATATATTTCGAATGTCTTTAAATTGTTCACTATTTATCTTCACAACTCTTTGTATACGACTGACTACACGAATATTTATATACACATTGAAAATTCTGGTGATGATCTAGAATGCTCCCGCCAAAACTAGAAACATCACATTCGTTCTGGAAGGTAATCTAAAGCTCCTTTGCCATAGTCGTCACATATGTTTAGTCTTAAGGGGTTTAATTATTTATGATAACCTCAAAGGCCAAATAAGACAGAGAAGGACTTGGAGGATTAAAGCATGACTGAATAATGAAATGACTCTCATTACGTTGCCTCCTGGAACTCTTACGAAACTAAAACGGAATGGTTGTATCTGCAACTGAACCCACTTTTACAATTTCCAGTTGCATGGAAGTAACAAGGGTCTGTCTTCGATGTAACCTGGACACTGAGTGAATGGCTGCAGACCAGTATTTGAACTCCGGTATCTTGAAAGATTACTTCCACCACGTTCCTAATGATTTTCCAATCCAGCTTGATTTCCTTCTATCTTCGGCATGACTAGTTTCTGTACATTGGACTCCAGTACGTACTCCCTTAAACTAAGTAATGCTTCCCTTACATCATAATAAGTGGATCGATCTCGGAAGGTGTTCTTTTCTTTGTTACCATATAGAAAAGGTAGCGTAATTCGTCTAGAAGTTTCAAAGCTTTTCCATAGGCTGGTAACTGACAATGAAGTTCTATCAGTTGACTAAATTTCTTACGGAACACATATGCCAGTCCTCGTACGTCGTTGATGCTGGCGGAAGTACTATGGACCAGCGAGTAGTCTTTTGGAAGCGAGAGCAGATCTTGTTGTTGCTCGGTCGTAACACCATATCTTGCTTTTACAGTACCTCCATAGGCACCCATAAATTCTTCAAAGACAAGGTCAGGTGTTTCTTGAAGTTGGTTTACTTCTTCTTCATGGTCACCCTCAAATGGCGCCAGCCTGTTTTGATGCACTACCTTTGGTTTACCGTTTGAGATCTTACTTATACGGTAAATTACATCATTAATTTTGTTCTTGATAAGGTAAGACCTTCCCAAGACCTTTGAAGCTTCGGAGAATAACCCTTTTGTCTTTTTGGGTTATAGAGCCAGACTTTTTCGCCTTCCTTGAAACATTCCTCTATAGCTTGGGTATCGTACTGTTTCTTCATCCTGTCGCTGGCGATTTGAAGATGCGAGCCGACCAATTCATGCATATCGTCCATTCTTTTTCGTAACTGGATCTCATAATCTTCACCAGCTACATCTTTAGACCTTTGTTGGCGTTTCACCTGTTGATTCATTGACAACGGATCCATAGACCATTGCAAAGAGCGAAATATACTGATCCCAATCTCGCTAATGGTTTGGAACCACTTTTGACAGACATTTGCCAATAGTCTTATTCATTCGCTCTACCATTCCATCAGATTGTGGGTGCAATGTTGTGGTTCTGGTTTTCTTCATGCCTAGTCTATCACAGGTTCCACGGGAGAGTTTGCTTTCAAAATTTATGCATTGGTCACTGTGGATCTCCAAGGGCACTCCAAATCAACAGATTAACTCTTTTATCAATACATCTGCAACAGTTGCGGTCTCTTGATTTAGAATGGCGTAGACTTCTACCCACTTTGTAAAATAATCCATAACCATCAAAATGGATTTATAACCATCCTCGGTCACGGGAAACGGTCTAGCAATTACTAAAGCGATCCTCTCAAATGGACTAACAACGTTGTATTACTTCATAAGAGTCTTCCTTTTTTGAATTATTATTTAATTTTTTACCTTTCTGGTCAACAAATAAATTAAAACTATAATAAATAGTTCCATTAATAACAAAACAATTGTGAATACAATAGTAAACTTTGCAAAGCAAAATGTTAAAAATGCTCTTGAGTAAATTGTTATTTTTTGTTAAGTGTCACTTTGTTTTCAAAGTACGAAACCTCGTATAACAACCTTTCCGCCAATTTTTAACGATTTTATCTTTGTCAGTTATAAGGTAGGATTAGATTTGACCCAAAATATTGCGGCCTATTGGGTCTACATATTGTATTGCTCTACTTTCCCCGTATTCAGTAATTATCTCTGAATAGTCCTGTGTCTTTAATTAATTTAACTAGATTCTCTACCAAGTATTCATGGGGTGCTCTTTTGGGTTCTACACCTAGAATAAAGCTTTGCAATCGAAGGTATGAGGTATGAGTATACACGTGGTGGTATTATTGTGTAATCTCATCATTGATGTCTTTCAGTAAGTCACTGTCCCGTTAATAATTCTACAATAGTGCGAGCTGTAGTAGGTTTGGTCTTCTTAGCACCTTACAGTCCTCTTATCTGTTTCCAGTGAGTGCAATTTAGTGTTTATCCACCTGTTCACTATCTGTCGAGAAAAGTCTTTGCTTACCCCAAACACAGCTTCGGGCCTTATGAATGGTAGTTATGATCCCTCTTTGGCGAGCTCGTCACCCTTTTAGTTTCCTTGGATATCTTCATGTACTGACCGGTACTCACGCTAGTTTTACCTTAGTTGCCAAATTATTTTATTCCAAGACTGTTCCAGACCAACTTTGACTTGATTCTGTTTGAACCAAGTCTTATCTGAAAGAATTAAGATGGTTTGTTTTTGTACTTCCTTCTTAGGCTCTTTTACACACAATTCTATTACATTTGAATCGCTTATTTCAGAAACGACCTGTCACTTTCCAGGAGGTAAAAAAAACGTTTTGAACTAGGAACAGGACAAAGGTTGTGTCAGAAATAAACGAATATTTTAAATTGTCATATAACTAAGGATGTTTACAGAAATTAAGTTATTTCTGCGTTAAACGTATTATTCTAAAACAACAATGAATGTCAATGTGTTAAACCCAATATGGACAAAAAGTGACTTAGTGTGTATCTGAAATAAGCAATTCATTTATTTCAGCCTGCAATACAATGATAGGTTTCCCAATGAGACGATAATATCGCATTTGGGTTTAACTCCATGTGCGCCAGAGCCTGTTTCCTTGCTTCTTTTATATCCATCCTTATACCATATACAAGACCCTTAAGCAATTATTTCTATACCGTCTTTAACTTATGTACTCGACCTGTAAGAGTCGAAGGTTAGACGGGGTGTCATGTAGTAATGTAGTATATGCCATTCTGGTATCCTGTTTGTTTTATCTTGAATTAATTTAACTTTGACAGAATATCTGATTTTCTTCTCTCTACACTCCTTCCTTAGTCCAAAATTATTCAAATATAAGCTTACATATTACTTTGTTAGTATCCCTTTTTGGTTCGGACAGCTACACACAATTTAAAAAATCATAGTAAATCAGATGAAAGATTAATTCTTATATTTTTTTTTAGACAACAAGTGCCAACTGCATCGCTGTAGGAGAAAAATATATTTTTGTAGGATGTGCCGAAGGAATTATCAGATGTTTTGACCCATCCACTCTTAAATTCGTAACCACTCTTCCTAGAAACCACTACTTAGGCGTCGACGTTAGCCTGGGTACTAGTATACAGTAAGTTTTCTTTGATCAATGTTTTTTGTTATGTTTAAATGCGTTTTTTTTTAGACACATGGCAGCGCCTCCTCAAGATGCTAAATATCCCGACACTGTAGCTATTACGTACGATGAGACAAATAATAAGCTTACGTCTGTTTATAACGATCACTCCGTTTATGTTTGGGACGTCTTCAACATCCAAAGGGTGGGAAAATCCTTCTCGTTTCTCTACCACTCTGCCTGCATTTGGGGTGTTGAAATGGCACCGCCCAATAGCCCACTACCTCCTGGAAGTTTTCTCACCTGCAGTTCAGATGACACCATCAGAGTATGGTCGCTCGATAAAATGAATGAAAATAGCTCGAAAGGAATATACCAGCCAAATATTTATAGTAACGTAAGTTTAATAAATTATCATAATTTTTTCAACTATATTCAAACTATTTTCTTATTTTAGGAATTACTCAAAGTAGTTTATATAGATAAAGATTTATCATTTATCAAAGACTTGGATATATCTGGAACGACTGAAAAACAAGAAAATACATCTTACGATGGAAGGAACGGTGTCAGATGTATCAGAATAAGTCCTGATGGTAAACATTTAGCTTCAGGAGATCGGGAAGGTAATTGACTATTTGAAGTATAGCTGCAAGAGTCATTCCTTTCCGAAAAATAATGCGTCTCTTAATTTAATTTTTAGGTAATATTCGGATACACGATGTGGCCACATTACGAGAGACCTGCAAAATCGAAGCTCACGACTCAGAAGTGCTTTGTCTAGAATATTCCGATCCTCACCTCAATCTAATGACGTCTGCTAGTCGAGATCGTCTCATCCACATATTTGACATGAAAAATGGTTACGAGTTTCTACAGACCTTGGACGACCATTCTTCTTCCATCACCGCAGTACGGTTTTTACACCAAGGAGGTAACACTCAAATGGTATCGTGCGGAGCTGATAAAACTCTGATATTCAGGTAAATTTCGTAATAGTACATTCGTTTTTACATCATACGTTACCGTTACATTTTAAGGACGGGGTATTAATTGGAATATTCTTGACGAATTAATGTCAAATAAAAGTTCATCGTGGAGGAGCAAATAATTACAGAAATCTTTAACTGTAGATTGCGACCTTTTAGATATTAGTATGGGGTTGCAAACAGGTTAGCGACTGACGGAATTTTGACAAATAAAACAATATTCATTTCGTAAACTGTGGCTGGGCACTAATCGATTTATAATTTATTTATATACATGGGTAATAAATACCCATTTAAAGTTTTACAATATATGAAAATTAAGTTATACAAAAAAAAATCTGTATATACAATAGTAGTATTTATGCTGTCAGAGAATTTTTGTTTCCATTTACCATTAAGCGGTAAACTGGAGAGAGAATCTTACATAATTAGTTTTGTAAAAAGGAATGGCAAATAATTCTGTATTTGGGACGTGCGTGAAGTTGGCCCTACCATGTTATGATAATTACACCAAAGTTGTACCAATATTTTGCAACTAATTTGCAACTTTAGGCAACCGGTATAAAAAAATTTGCAACCTTACATTTTAGTTCTAATCGCTAAAACAAAATTGGTGGGGCCAAATTCACGCAGCCCCACCACATCGTCTTATTGACCTCGAACCTTTTTCATAATTTAGCAACTAATTTGCAACTTTAGGCAACTGGTATAAAAAAATTTGCAACCCTACATTTTTGTTCTAATCGCTAAAACAAAATTGGTGGGACCAAATTCACGCAGCCCCACCACATCGTCGTATTGACCTCGAACCTTTTTCATAATTTAGCAACTAATTTGCAACTTTAGACAACCTTCGTGAAAAAATTTGCAACCTCGTGGTTACGCCAGAAACAAATTCCTAAGTTGGTGGGGCCAAATTCACGCGACCCTACCACATCGTCGTAGTGACCTCAAATTTTTTTCATAATTTAGCAACTAATTTGCAACTTTAGGCAACCTTTGTGAAAAAATTTGCAACCTCGTGGTTACGCCGAAAGCGAATTCCTAAGTTGTTGGGGCTTAATTCACGCGGCCCCGTCACATCGTCGTATTGCCCTCAAACCTTTTTCATAATTTAGCAACTAATTTGCAACTTTAAGTCACCTTCGTAAAAAAAATTGCAACCTCGTGGTTAAGTCGGAATCGAATTCCTAAGTTGGAAGGTGGGCCAAATTCACGCGGCCCCACCACATCGTCGTGTAGACCTGGAATTTTTTGGGGCCAACATCTTTTCCTTAATCTATTTTAATACATACTAATATATTATTAAAATTTATAGTTACAATATTACAGTTTTACTTTAATAAATTAAGATGGTGATATAAATATAAGCATATATTACATATATTTAGTAGGTACATTTTTGTATTTGATACGCAAATCATAATTAAACAAAACAAAATAAAATAAAATATAATTTAACATTTTAAGAGGAGCATATTCTTAAATATAAAGGATATAATGAATTTGGAAATGATTATTATTATCACAGAAAGTAGGTAATATTAATAAAAATAATATTTTTATCGTTATAAATTATAATTTATTACTTTGAAAATTTGTATTGTTTAATTAAAATTGTTTTAAATTTTACAGAAATGCTCTCCATAATATGTTTTGTTTTGTTTAATTATGATTGGCGTGTCAGATGCAAAAATGTTGGCCCCAAAAAATTCGAGGTCTATACGACGATGTGGTGGGGCCCCGTGAATTTGGCCCCCCTTCCAACCACGAGGTTTTAAATGTTTTCACGAAGGTTGCCTAAAGTTGCAAATTAGTTGCTAAATTATGAAAAAGGTTCGAGGTCAATACGACGATGTAATGGGGCTGCGTGAATTTGGCCCCATCAACTTAAGGAGTCGTTTCCGGCGTAACCATGAGGTTGCAAATTTTTTCACGAAGGTTGCTTAAAGTTGCAAATTAGTTGCTAAATTATGAAAAAGGTTCGAGGTCAATACGACGATGTGGTGGGGCTGCGTGAATTTGGCCCCACCAATTTTGTTTTAGCGATTAGAACTAAAATGTAAGGTTGCAAATTTTTTTATACCGGTTGCCTAAAGTTGCAAATTAGCTGCAAAATATTGGCACAACTTTGGTGTAATTATCATAACATGGTAGGGCCAACTTCACGCACGTGTATTTGGGGCCGTTCAAATATTACTTAAGCAGATTTATTACAATTATTTACCCCCTCCCCCATCTCCCTTGTCAGCAAACGTAAGCAAAGCTCTTCCCCTTCCTCCCATGCTTACGTAAACATTTTTTAATTATAAATGTATTTTTTTTATATTATAATTATAATGTTATAATTATAATTTTAAAAATAAGAAAATAGATTTAGGATAGATATTACATTTTACTGATACAGTATTCAACATAGAGGAAGGGACAAACATATTACAATCTTACGAACATTACAAACTCATTTTAAATTTTTGGTACACATATTAAATTTAAATTAATAGTCTTCAGTTCATGAAACCCGAATCCATGATTCTAAGTTTTCGATGACATTGGATTGCTTGGATTACTGCTCAGTGTTGTGAGTCTGCTCACTTTCATCCGATTTTGGAATGTCTACGTCGTTCTCATCGAGTCATTCAACATCATGGTGCTCTAAATTTTGAATAATGCACATCAGTTCATTAGCACGACGAGCAGCGACTCTTACAGGTCTAACTTTCCTATCAATGTGCAAGCTTACTTTTTTATGGAACTTCTCGATGTGACGATTTAGTGACTTGACGGAAGCATGATAAAGACCACACGTTTTGCATGTTCGACTTGATAGCCTCAATTTTACCGTCAGACAAAAATAATCGTAGGGTATTTACAGGAAATATTTGAGTGAAGCACTTAAGCGTAGAGCTAAATCGATTGGAAGATCAAGAAATTGCCCTTCTTCATCCAAAACCAAGTCATCAACTGTTTATTTTACTTTTACAGGTGGGGGAAGAAACATGTTGTCTACTAATCTGAATAGGCCACTTCTTGGACGACAGCATTCTGTATTTCTACATTTTACAATTTAAAACAAGTATTAGCTTTCACGCACATGTTCTGAATACCATTTAATGTCTGGAAAATCAGGAAGATCTTGTTCACCTGCTCCAACATATTTTGCAGTAACATTATAGCCTTCAATTTCCATTGAACTCCATACTTCAGCTAATACATTTCCTGCAAATTCGAAATTAGATCTTTCTAAATGTTCATCAATTGTAACGCCACGTTCGTCCAAATGAGACCCAAAATGGTCATAAGGCAATATTAAACCAGCCAGTTCCCTACTAAGAGGAGCCATTCTGCGCTCTACTCTGTTATACGCACTTCTTCCAGGAGCATTGGTAGCTAAAAACAATGCATCGAGATCATGTCGCTTAAAGTGTTGTATAGCAAACTCTATAACTTTTTTATAACGTGGATGTTCATCTGGCTCTCCATCAACCGTCATGATTACCACTGGTTTTACTAGTCCATGGTCAGTTTTAGCTAATGAAACTCTTCAAGTTCGAGAAGCGTCTCGAAATCCTGAGCATGAGTATTAGCAGTAGATGAACTATGCTTTCCACTTCGAATAGCGATGTATGTTGGTCTAGAATATCCAACGGCTTGTGGTTGTCCTAGCATACTGGAAGTGATTTTGATACCAGCATAAACAGATGGTATTAATTTATGACGCTCAGCGATTACCCAATTGTAACGTTCATTTTTGGCCCCACGAATTAATACAATTGTTTTGGCTTACCTGGTTAATCATACGAAAAAAAAGGGTAAAATCGTATGGTTGATATCACTATTATTTTTTTTGGTCATTAACTAATTTCACCTGTATTCTAACTTTTGGACATCATTATTACAATTTATTCCATCTCACCACTAGTATAATACTTTGTACATTGGTCATATTTGCGGTGTAGTGTTCCCTGTTTTAATTTGCCAGATTCTCCTAAAAATAGACCAAGTTTCGTTGTAAATTTATACATATTATGTATTATAGTCTCACCTTTGGGTAATTAATTATTTACGATACCATTCTTTAAGATTTTCTTTGTTTATAGCTGTCAGAATTGGATTAATGTTTATTAATTGTGACAGTGAATGACATAAACGTCATTTGACGACAGAACACCGACAAGTGTCATGTTGGTGGTACGTTCCAATATCGGGCTCAGAACCCGAAGTAAGGTAGTTTCACAATGAGCGATTTTAAGTCGTGAGGGATTTTTTTTGCGATCGCTGTTGTATTAATTTTTGTCGGGAACAGTTTCCCAAATGTAGTTATACTGTATATAAATATAGTTTTTAGGGTACCTTTCGTAAATGGTCTGTTAAGTTATATAGTGGGGAATTCTTGAGGATGAATTTCTGAACCCACTTGACATTTATCGGAAAGGGATTTCGGCCATTTTGGACGGCTGACGTATTGTTTTTTTTCTGTCAGTGGGTATTCAGTCACGAGAGACGATTTTTGTGTCGAAATAGAATTTTCTTAATATTTAGCCCCATCGGCTTACCCTAATTAAAGGGGATTTTAGATTCTATTTCATGGTTAATTGTGGGTAAATGGACATTTCGTATTTTGAGGGGAATTTTAGTGAATTGGTAAATTCCCATGGTCATTGGTCCAGCCCATATCTAATATAGGATTTTAACGCAATAATCGGGAGTTCACAGCATTTGGAGTGTGGAATATTGTTGTACTGTGAATCATCTCACGTGGTTCTCATCCTTGAAAGGCTACCAAGTTAACCCTTTACGAAAAAGGTATGTTTTGTATATATTAGGTTATGTTACCAACCATGTGTAACAGAATTTTAATTATTGGAGCTCATAATACTGTTTATGACTCACTGTTGAGCCAATGTAGTTTTTCTTTATCCTAGATACTGAATATTTTCTAGTTTATGTACATTTTTGGGTAATCCTATAATTCGGGATACTTGAGTCAATGT